AAAAGTGGTGGGAATGCGCAGTGGTCTGACACGGTATGAGCATACCCTTGTATTTCTACCATGCTCGCAATGAAAACAATCCGCGCACTCTCGCGTGCCCTCGCGCCTCGCGACGCCACGTTGCCGCGCGCGGCGTCACGGTCGACGACGCGGTTGCGCCAGGTGGCGCGCGCGAGCGCCGGCGCTCCGCCGGTAACCTCAATCCCGCCGTCCGGCGGCGTCGCTTGAGGAATTCTCGAATCTCCAAGGTAGATGGCGCGACGAAGGTGATTGATTAGAAAACTCGCTGCAGTTCGCGCGAGCGGGCTTCGCGAGCGAGCGAGCGTAAAAAAAGAATCGGAGCAAAATAATCGCGAGATCCTGAGATCTCTCTGATCTGCGAAAATGCAGTTTCGCGAAAGGCAGCAATCGTTGAGACGCAGGAGGTTATCGATCGAGGAAACGTGCAAAATGGCGGCGTCGCGTCGTCGGTAGTGTCCTCTGGCAACGAGTCCAAGCGAGCGCGCATCCGAGATCCGGACTCGTGTCCACCTTGGAGTGATCGCGTACGAGGAGGAAGAGCGGATCGCGTTTCTCCGTTCTCTGCTCGCGATCGACGATTCTGCCGTCGCGTCCGCGTCCGTGCCCGCGTCTCTGCCGCGCATCGCCCCGCGCCACGGGATTGCGGTTAGAATTGCGTTTTTTTTTTTTCGAACGCGCGCGTGCCGCCATCTACCGCGGACGTCGATCTGACAGGAACCTAGCGGCAGGAAGGTACGGTGCAGGCGATTGGAGCTCGCGAGCGTCTCGGCGGAATCGAGCTTTTTTCTGCAGTCGCGCGACGCGCGATCGCTATTAAAGCCCGACGCGTGTCATTGGCGTTTCCGAGAACGTCCCGTGGGACTCCGGGACCGTCGGGATCGAACGGGACGCGCCATTGGCCACGGACGATCGTCTTTTTCATCGTAGCTGATCCCGAACGGCCGACATGGCGGCGGCCCGATGAGCCAATCGCAGCGCCGCTATCACGCGCCGCTCCGCCATTCAGCGACGACGACGACGCTGCCGCCACCACTGTCGACCTACCGTCCACCACCACCACCACCACTACCACAGCGCGCAGCTAGAGACCCCCTTCTGGCGTAATTCGCGTCGCCGATTTCGCTATCTCAAATTTGGCGAGTGGTTTTTTTCGCGGGACGCACGACGCGTCGTACGAGGAGGTACGACGGGCATACGGGTGTGACGGAAAGCGGCGACGGCGGATGGTGTGCATCGCCGCGAGGGCATCGCGTCGCGGCGGCGGCGGCGGCGGCGGCGGCGGTGATTGTGTTTGGTCACGTGATCGCGCGAAACCGACCGTGGGCCCGTGAGAAATGGCGCAAAGATCAGAGTGCATCGGACATCATGGACGGATCCTGCTCGTTGCCGCGGCGATGTCACTTGTGTTTGTTTACAAGCGTGCGAGCACGCGCGCCACGTGCTGAGTGAGGAGGCGAGGAGACCAGGGAGAGGAGAGGAGAGAAGTGGAGAGAGAGAGAGAGACGAAAAGAGGTGGCTGACGAGGTGAGCGGGAGGAGGGAAAGGCTGAACAAGCAAGGTAGGTCCGGTCGGTAGGCCCCAGTCCCCTCGCATTCCGAAACGAGGTTGACGGCGCCGGTGCCGGCGGCAACGACGACGACGACGATCACGATCGGGAGGACCACGGCGACGCACGACAATAATGACGGGCAGGGGTTCGAAGAGGCGGGGGCGCCCACCCAAGTCCGTGGTGATGGAACGGCCGAAGAAGTTTCAGTATCACCTGATGAAGAAGCCCAAGTATCTGCAGAACAGGACGGCGCTAGGCAGCGGTGGCGCCGAGACGCCGGGCTCACAGCCGAGCACGCCGACGGCGTCCCGGCCGACGTCGCCGTCGGTCGAGAGCGAGGAGAGCAGCAAGCGCAGCACCAGGAATCAGCGTAAGTCGCGGAACAGCCGCGAACGGCACTCCCGCAAGGGCGGCCACGCCGGAGCTACAGGTGGTGCCTATCAGCGTCGCGGCTACAATCCCAACGTGGACTACCATGACTCCGAGTATCATTATGGCTCCGACTTTGGTGACGAGTCCAGCGAGAAAAGCGAGCCGGAGGAGGAGCCAATGCCGAGCGACATGGATACCTCGGAGAGCATGGAGGAACCCGATCCGTCAAGTGACAGCGACTTCTCACTGTCCAGCTACAGCACCACCAGTGGCACTCCCAGAAAAGCCCTGCTCGCCCAACAGCGGCCGCCCAGTCCGGAGCCGTTATGGCTGCAGAACAGAGAACTGCCCCCGTTAGTGTTACCCAAATCCTCGGACGATCTGTTGGTCCCTAAAGAACTGGTCATGCCATTGCTCTCCATCTACGAGGTACTCAGGCATTTTCGCACCCTGGTACGCCTCTCCTGCTTCAGATTCGAGGACTTTTGCGCCGCCCTCATGTGCGACGATCAAACCAATTTGCTTGCGGAGATTCACATTATGCTGATCAAGGCACTGCTGCGAGAGGAGGACTCGCAGCAGACCCATTTCGGTCCATTGGACCAAAAGGATTCGGTGAACGTTAGCCTGTATTTCGTGGACTCTATGACGTGGCCAGAGGTGTTGCGTTCGTACGTGGAGAGCGATAAGAGTTTCGATCAGAACATTTTACAGATATTAGCCACCACTGAATATCCTTTTACTGCCATCGAGGATAGAATCAAGGTCCTACAGTTTTTAACAGATCAATTTTTAATCACAAACCCCGTGAGAGAAGATCTATTGCATGAAGGTACAATAAAATGCATTTCACGTATGTTATATCTTAAGTACATGCTTTTTTGTATACAGATCTAATGTAGCATAATTATTGAAAATCAGCAAGGAAAAAGTTTACTGTGTCCATGCTGATAGGGCGGTATTCATAGTCTGATCTTATATTAAAGATCGTCTTAAGTCCGGTCAAAGGCAGTCTTAAGACTCCGTTCAGCCAATGAAATGACCGTATTAGCAACATTACTTAAGACGGTTTTGAAATAAGATCCGACTATGAATACCGGCCATATAGTTGCTTATTTTAATATTTTTAGTCAATTGTTCAAATTAAATATAAAACTAAACATAAACTGAATGTTTTAGGTTTTAAATACGTGTCTACTAAGATATAATTTTTATTTATTTAATAAATCTGATTTGAATGTTTTTAACAATTTATAAATTATTATTTGCAAACGATTTGGTTTCTCTATTTTAGAAATTTATTTTTTATAAACTATTTTTTAGTTTAGTCTAATTTATACATTTTATAAGAGTATACGTTTTATATAAATTATTTAGAATTATATATTTTAAAAATATGTTTGTTATAGGAACGCTATTTATTTGTGCGATTTTATATTTTATAACAATTTCTTTACGTAAAATTTTATGCAAATCCGTGTCTTCGCGTAAATATACCCTGTAGTGTTTCGCTCCGCGCGTACTTTGCGCAAGACACTACCGTGTCTCTTGATAATTTAAAAACATTTATTTTTTTTGCTCGTAAAATCTTGGGAATCTTGAAGCTAGTTCAAACTTATTTCAGTTAAATCTAATATCTTGTAATGGTAAAAAGATACTCAAAATTTATCAAGAGAGAATATGGAATGGACAATATCTATGTTTTGCAGGAACCATGCATTATGACGATCACTGCAGAGTTTGCCATCGACTAGGAGATCTGTTGTGTTGCGAGACTTGCCCAGCTGTATTTCATTTAGAATGTGTAGAACCGCCTCTGGTCGATGTTCCTACTGAGGATTGGCAATGTAGTACATGTAAAGCTCACAAAGTGACGGGTGTCGTGGATTGTATTCCCGATGTCGAAAAGAATGGGTCGCTGTGTAGACAAGAGCATTTAGGATTTGACAGACACGGCAGAAAATATTGGTTTCTTGCAAGAAGAGTTTTTGTGTAAGACATATTTTAATGTATCTGCATGTCTAATTGAGATTTTACAAAATTTTGATTATTTTTTTATGTAGCTTATATAGCAAATATTAAAGCAAGAAAATTTTTATTTTATTTTATAAAATTTATATATAAGAAAATAAGAAAATAAAGGAAATTATAAATCTGCGAAATATGCAACAAGTCTGAAATGGCAAGAGACTAAAAAACAAGCTCCGATTTTACATATATACGTACGTAATTTTTAATTTTTTTATTGTGGTTTCATTTTCTAGTGAGAGCGAAGACGGCGAGGTGTGGTATTACAGTTTACCTTTGCAATTAGAAGAGCTGATGCTTGTGTTAGATCAAAATGAAATGGAAATAGCGCTTTATCGCGAATTGTCGGATTACAAGGAGGAAATAGTCCGTCAAATGGAGCTTACAGAGACCATCACTAATCAATTCAAAGGAAACAAGAAATCATACCTGGAAATAGAAAACAGTAAGATCAATCTTCGTTAATTAACGATTAATTTTTTAATCTCTTTCAATCAACGGCGGCATAACAAAGTTTATATAGATATGTATTTAAAAAAATATTTTTAAAAAATTATTACTAAATAAAATTAAAAAATAATTTTTTAAATATTTTGTAGATCTTATACAAAAGATGCAAAAAGAGCGACAAGAGAAACAAGAGAAAGAAGAGGAGGAGAAGAAGGAAAAGCAGAGACAGGAAGCAGAGGAAATGATACGCAAGATGCATGAGAATGCAGATGCTCTCAATGAACGTACAGCAGTAATGGAACAGGGTACAAATGGAGCAAAATTATCCAGTAATGAGTCGACTCCAGTTACACAGGTACCTGAGGTGGTCGGCGAAACTGTCGAGGTTGACGCCGAAGCGCCGTCGACCGCGACGAATACGAACAAAAATACGAAAACTAGTGCCTCTACGTCATCGTCTGAAGATGTTGAGGAAGAGACGTTAGAAGGGGAGGAGAAAGTTGGGAAAGATGGTATAAGGCTTTACAATAGAATTTTGTAATATTGAGCTTTGTGTGTTAAAGAAATTGCTTCCTTCATATTAAAAGAAAACATTTCTTGCAGGACAAATATTAGGCTTCTATAAAACAATTGAACTTTTCTATATGTACTCGTAGCATTTTATTCGTGTCACGTTTACAATCTTTTTTTTTTGTTTCAGGCAAAAAGCATACTATCGTGACAAGATCGAAAACTGGATCGTTGCAACCGCGAACCTTTAACATGGACGATATAAAGAGACGGAGTATGGCACCGTTGTCGAAGGAGGAGCAAGAGAAGCTAGACAAGGCTATAAAGGATTCCGAAAGCGATGGCAATACTAGAGTAACGCGTCAGAAGGCACATCAAATTGCATCTGGCACACACTTGTTCAAATTGGGCATGGACAACAACTTTAAGTCGTACGTCAATCATTATACCACCAATCCCATTGCGCTAAATAAGACTCAGAGAAACGAGGAACGCGATAAGAAACGTCACTTGTCGCACAAGTTCTCGCTCACGCAAGCATCGGAATTCAAGTGGGTGGGCAGTTTAACGGGTACCCGTGCTCTGTTGGTTAGTACCTTACGCCAAACGATTCTGCAGCTTGAAAGCAATATTCAGGCGTCATTCATGCACACCAACTGGCCACTGCTGCGCAAACCATGGACCGCAGCGGTGGGAGCGTGTGTGAATCCGCGAGACTTTGCGCGCACTCTCATTGTCCTGCAGGCGTGCATCAAATCTGTTGTATTCGCGAGCGTATGGCACGACCAGCTCGGCCATGTAAAACTGCAACGGGTGACCGCACTTGAGCGCGAGGAGAAAAAACGCCAGGATAAGAAGGAAAAAAAGGAGAAGGAGGACGAAGAAGAGCGAAATCGACTCTACAATTTTGTCAAATACACACTCGGCCTGAAGCATCAGGTGTGGAAGCAGAAGGGTGAGGAATATCGGGTGCATGGCCAAGGCGGTTGGCTTTGGGTATCGGCTAGACGCCGTCACCGATTCTCGGATATGACGAAAATGGGCTTACGCGCCGGTCCACAGAAAATTATGGTACAGATCAAGGATCAGGGTGGCTTGAAAGTCCTCGCGCTTGACCCGCCCACTTATGAATTCCTCATCAAGGAGTACTGTCCGAGTAAGACGGAGAATGGTATTGTGAAACAAGAAATCAAAGAAGAAGGTGTAGAAAGCGATGCGATAAAACAGGAACATAATACGGAAAAGATAAAAAAAGAGTCTACGACCGACGGCGAGACGAACGGTGTTGGTCCTTCTCCATCGGTAAAACCGGAATCCCAATCTGTCAAACAAGAAACGAAGATGAATCTGTCATGTATGTAGCGAATTCGATGAATTTAAATGGACTTTTATTTGTAACAAAACACTAAATAGAAAATCTCTTTAGTTTTAGCTGGCATGAAAATCGAAAAAGTTTTTACTCCGATTACTCAGTTTGAAGAGATCGACATCAACAAGGCACTAACCAGTCCTGGAAGATTGCATTATCCAAAAGTTGCGAAAAAGACGAGAATCGACGATTTCCTGCCTCGCAGATCACACTTGAAGTTTTTGGAAGAAAGAAAGTTATTGCAATCTGTGAGTATATGTATTCATTAAATAATAAGTGTAATTATATCATTTGGCAGTCGTTTTATGCAAATCTATATCACTCCGACAATGAAAAAAATTTTAATATTATAAATTATATATTATAACATATTTTGTATCTTTACAGTTTGTAAATTAAATTTTGCAGGTAAAGACGAAAGAAGCGAATCAGACGTCAAAGCAGAAAGGTGGGGATGGCGACTCCTCAGAGGTTGATATGGAAAATCACGAAGAAAACGATACGGATAATAGCGACGCTGTTGGCGGTGGCGGTGGCGGTGGCGGTGGCGGGGACGCCTCTCTGCAAGGTCTTTTGTCGTCGCCTGTCGTCAAGCAACCAAAGCAAGTGACCAAAACGGCAGTAACAGCCGCCTCTGCATCCGCAAAAGAAATGCTGTCGGTGATTAGCAAGCGCATCCAGCAGGTGCGCTTACAATACGCGACTGTAATGAAGCTCTGCAAGAACGACAGCTGTTACTCGCGCTATTGTAACATGAATAACGCCAACAAAAACAATGTCGTGCAAATTAATACCACGCAGATCATCACTCCGAGTACCGACACCTGTTATTCGCCTTTGTGCATGCGAAAGACGCGGCTGAAGCGCGAGCTGCTCGCGTTGGTACGCAAGGCAAGCATTCTGAACAACAATCAGTCCTCTTCCTCGTTGTCTTCGCCACAGGTCGCAGCGGCTTCCGTAAAAACGGAAACCTCGGACGAGTCAAAGGATGCGATCAGACGTGATTTGGAATCGGCAGTGGCGTCAGCAACTCGCTGCAACGAGGAAGCAGTGGCGACGAATGTGACTAAGACAAAGAACGACGTTTCCCCTCCAAAGAAGATCAAGCTCGAGAATGAGCTTACGGAGAATAGTAGCGTGACTACCGTCACAACGAGTAACGTCGTTACAACCACCACAACTATTACGACTCAGCAGACAGTGAAGAATGCGGACGGCGTAACACAGGAGCATGCTGCCGTTAATCGTAATTCTATGACCGTCTCTTCGAAAACTACGACCACAACGACAAATAAGAGTGGTGCGAAGACAGTGATGATCGTGAACCGTAGAGGAAGGACAGTACAGCGAAGTACATTCGTCAAAGAATTGCACGCCGATGGGACTGAACGGATATATACGACGACGGCGACGGAGGGTAAGGTATATTTGAAGAAGGTGGCGTTTACGATGGCCGATCGTAAGAAAAAACGCACGCCAGTTAAGTATCCACTCTGCTCGACCTTCTGTACGAAGAACAAGCAGCGCAGCATATTAATACTTCCTCAGCACGAATTGAGGAAATTATCCCGCGTCGGTGGTAAGATACCCGTGCAAGGGTTTCATCATCAAGCCAAGGCAAATTTGTCGGTGTGGCCGTATCCGTGTCCCAGACCCTTGTTCAAGACTTGCTGGCTGTACAGAACGGTTGGTTTAAAGTCGCTAGCCGCTGCTGCGATTCAGCTGAGAATACTCTGGGCATGTCTCAGATGGGACGACATGGCAGCCAAGCCGTTGTCCACCGACGGCAAGAATCAGATCACAACTGACACGGAGATCATGTCACTGGAGATATTGAAGCATCGGCACGTCGGGCAGTTTCTCGACAGAGCTCAGTATCTACGTAGGAAGGTCGTTATACCACTCGAACTTCCGAAACAAGTCAGAGGTTTGTATAGAAGATAACATATTATATAAATTCCCAATCGTGCAAAACTTATAATTTAGCTAACAGTTTATTATTGTTATATATTAAGTTATAACTTCTTTTAAAGTCATATTGACGTCATGTACAAAAATTTTGCAGAGGTAACGTCTATAAGGAGCGGTCTGAGAAAAAGAAAACGTCCTGAATCTCCACAGAGCACCGAACCACAAGTCACTGAAGAATGGGTCGACGAGGACAAGTTGGAACTATGGGAGATCAAACAATACGGCGACAGGTATAGATTGGTCCAACATGTGTGTGACAACGAAATATTTGCATGTTATTTTGTATGTTTAACGCGTTTGTTGAAATTTTCTCTGAAACATTCTTCTTATCTCACAATTGCTATGCCGTTGACCGATTTCATTGAGCTTGCTAAAGTTTCAGCTGAGGAATGTTAGACGTTAACGATTCTTATATTACTCTTAGTAGAAACGTCGAACTAATTTAATCGGAATAATTTTGACGAATACTCTGAAATTTTTAATTGTACTAAAAAAAGATTTTATTAAATTTGGAAATTATAAGTTTATTTATTATTATTATATAGAAGAGCGGTAGAGTTAAAAGATCGAATTTTTATCCAGATTTACGACAGATTCTTTATAATAATATGATCTCCCGCTGTGTTACTCTAAATTACTCTAAGTTTATCACAAATCTTACAAAATTGAAAATGCATGTTTTACCTTGCATATATCTCTCGATTCGAGGACAACAAATTGTGCTAATTGTGAAACATGTCTCTGTTTACGCTTTTGTAATTTACGCCGAGGATGAATATCCTAAGCGTGGATTTGACCGCTAAACCTTTAACCGCTTGCTTTCTTTCACTGGGAACTAACCCTCCGCTTGGTGTGTCTGTCCTGTCTCCAGGTTAGAGAAGGCTAATGCGCAGATTATTACTAGGAGTCGCTCAGGAGCACCGCAATCAGTGGTCGTTAGCGGCGGCAATAAAGCCGTCACCACCGTCGCCACTGCTGGCACGACTGGTCTAACTGGCGACCAGCTTGTAAGCGGTAAAGCGACACCGGAAGAGATTAAGGAAAAGATGGAACAGCAGTTGCGTATACAGCGGGCGGCTCATCAGCAGAAGCGTGCTCTAGAGACTTACAAAAATCAGTCCACGAACTCGTCGCCTGCTACCCAACTCGTCAAAGTTACAGCCAATTCCTCTCACGGTAAGCTAAGACAAAACCATATATGATAAAACTAAGAAAAAAAAGTGTGCACAGTATACAGCGATATATATTTGATCTTCGTTAAAACAACGCAGACTAGGACAAGAATTATATTAAAAGAGATTATGTTACTTCCAGATGGCACCGTCAAATTGGTTTCGAAAGTCGCGATTCCAGCGAACCCGAATAGTACGAAGTCGCAGTTGACTTCTCTCTTAACGACTCCTACGCAAAACAAAACTTTCATCGGTACACGGCGTATTTATATGACGAAATGTAAGCCTTATGTTCGAGCGCATAGAAGATCATATGACGAAGTCGACTTTGTATAAACTGATCTATTGCTTCATTTTAGCTGCGGATGGAACTACCAAGGTTGTGTCTGGCCCTACCAGTATTTTACCAAAAACGCCGCAAACCCCAGGAGTAAACCAGCAATCCTTGATCAGGGTGACGCCAACGAGTAAGTTTACTTATTATTTAAAATAATCTTAACGATAACGATAAAAATTTTTTTTTCGTTCTCGAAAGATTGATGCGCAATATATAAATTCTCTTCTTAAACAATTTTATCTTAATTGTTTTAATCATATGTTTCAGGCACTGCTTCACCAGTGCAAGTGCAGCAAAGAGTGCAAATTCTTAGAGGGCCGGACGGAAAGTTGCAGGTGCGCGGGTTGTTGCCTGGCCAGCAGTTGGTTCAGATGCCGGATGGAAAACTGCATGTGCTGAATGTAAGCCAAACTGTGGGCACTACACAAGGCGCTCAAACAAATTCGACAACATCTACAACTCCAAAAGTAATTTATTAAAAAAAAAGAACATTTTTCAAAAACTTTTAATATTCTAATTTGCAGAAGAGAGCGTATAAAAATGAGATGTGTAATTAATCGATACAATAGAAACCAATCGATATAAACTCAAGGAATAAAATAAATAATAAGCTTGTATATAGAAAACTATAACAAATTAAATTGCGGTCAATACGAGCGCGCGCAAGCGTAAATGTTCATGCGACAACTTGATTTATTACAATTGATATATTTTAGGCAAAGACTGTGACTGCCGTTAGTAAAACGGCGACGGAGAGTACGACTGTGACTAAGACCAGTCCGACTGCAAAGGCAACGGCAAATTCGACGGTACAACAAGCGCAAACGCCGCAACAAGCTCAGGTGGTGCAAACTGTTCAACGCGTAAAATCCGCAACCATGACTCTGACACCCGCCACAGCTGCTCAAGCAACGAAGAATGCCATCGTGGTCACCAACACAGGACAAACCGCGCAGGTAATGATGCTTCCGGTTAACGTGAATCAAATCATAAAGTAATTCTCGAATATATGTGATCTAACAGAAATTGCTGAAAATTTAGTAAAATATTAAATTCGATATATTTAAGTTCAATAGAGTATCACTTAATATTTATATAAATTCTAGAAAATTGAAAAAAAAAATTGATTTAGAAGCACATGAAAAATTAAATGTTATAGAGTTTCACTTGCGTTGCAACTTATAGAGTTAATTGTAATAAATATATGCATATATTACATCTACATTATTTACATTTATATGTTGTATAAAAATATTGCAGGTAATATCTTCCGGTGGTCAAGTAATAAGCGGCAGTCCGATAATGGTCACAAACGCAAACCTGGTCCAGCAATTGGCGTCAGGTAAAGCCCAGTTGACTGCGATCGGCAACCAAGTTGTAATACGTAACGCGTCCAATCAAATTGTGCATGTAAACTCGGCTAATGGTGGCTTTATCGTGAAAAGTCCCGTTGCTGCCAATAAACAACAAGGTTAGTTACTCTGGTTAATTATTTGTATATTTTTTAAATAAAAAGATTAACTCAAAAGCTCACACTAAAGAATGTGCATTTCAAAGAAAGTACGTTTTATTTTTATATTTTACGAAAATTTTATATCTACTGAGAATGTGCACTTATACTTCTAGCTTTGCAAGCCACACAAACTTCAATAGTTGCGCAATCAGTCGCAACTACTAACACGAGCACGACGACGACCACCGCAGTTTCCGCCGCGTCAGTGACGACGACTCAGAGTTCCGCCACGACTCCAACTCCGGGCAGTATCGAGGCTTCTTTATTAGCAGGGCAACCACCTGGCACAGTAATCAAGTGTGTGACAGCGCAAGTTATCAGTACAGCCGAGGGCCCGCGGATTGTACTGCAGGGTTTGCAAGGCTCGGATTTCACGCCGCAGCAATTAAATATGGTGCAGCAACAAGTTAAACAGCAACTTTTGAAAGGTTGGTTTTTAAGCGTCTTTAAAAATTAATTTATAAATTTATTGATAAACTCCTCCAGGAGTAAATTGATATTAACATATTGCCCGGAGACATTAACTCGTCTTTTGTTGCCCGCACGTTATTGATCAGTGACAAATTTACTCGTGTTTAGGGAGATATAGTTTACATCATCATGCCAAATTGTTGAAACTGATAAAGTTTTTATTAGGATTTGTAATTGTGTTTATCCATCATTTTGTCGTAATTTGTTTATTTTTTTATCTCTTGCATATAAACGAAAGTTTGTTCCCGAAATATTAACTTTTATGAAAAAAAATAGCCGGTCACGGTCGTTAGTTTCTATATAAAACAATGACAAAACGGTTAACAACGGTGTTAAAATAAATTAAATTAAACAAGTTTTAAATCGATTTCAGCACACGCAGCGACCGGTAAGCAAGGCGTTTTGGGGCCAACAAAGATTTACTTGGCCGTTCAACCAGCCCAATCATCCAACAATCAGCAACAGCAATCTCAGAATTCTCAAACTTCGTCAGTTACAAATACCCCAGTATCGTCAACTCCAAAACAGCAACAGTCTACAATGTCCCCGTCGGCTACCAGTGGTGCGCAAATTTTCAACTTTTGTTACTCTTTAAGAAATGTGAAATGACAAATATTTGGTGGTACATGTTCTTTTGAAAGGATACTTTCGACAATACTTTCGACAAAATAATTATTAATATTTTGCGACATTTTATGAATCTGTTTTTTATTAGAGCCGCAAAGTGCCACCGAAACCATTCCAGAAACTCCACAAGCGGCAACGCCAAAATCGGCGGACAAACCGAAAGTGGTCGTTCAGCAAGTGGGACGCGTGGTAAACGCAACAGAGAACGACACGCAAAAAGCGAATATAGCTAACGGACAGCAACCATCATCGCAAACGGTGAAAGAAGGAAGCGACTCGGCGCCGAATAAATTTATATTGACCCCAGAATATGTTCAACAAAGTTAGTATGCAAGAAAATCAAAATGCATTTATAAAGTAAAGTGTGCTTTACACAAAATTTTTTCAACAATATTTTTTTTATACTATAGGATTTTCTTTTATGCAAATAAATTTTCTTAGGTATTTCTCATATAAAAAATATTGATTTCTTTACGAATATTATAGAAATCTGTTTAAAGATTTTTATATAAATTTTTATAGCAAAAATTTCTGTAAAAATTTCTTACTCGAGAAACACTTCTTGAATATTTTCTTGCTCTAAACGCTCTTATTTATTTCTGATTTTAGCAATCAAAACTGCTTTGAAACAAGAGAACCTGACTCCGGAGATAGAGGAGAAATTGTTGTTACTACAACGTTACCAGGAAAAGCAAATGAAAGGTGGCGTAGAGAATTCGGTGACTAGCAATCAGACTCATAATTCGCCCGCGGCAACGACGCCGCGGCCGCCGACGCGCAAACGGCCGGCGCCATCGTCGAACATTCCAGCAGCAACAGCAGCGGTGACGACGCCGATAAACGCGCAATTGTCAGGTGGAGTCGGCGACAAAGATGATAAAGATTGGGTGGAGACACCCAGGAAAAGACCAGCACTGAAGCAAGAAAATCGCGAAACGACCCCAAAGTAAGCGATTACAAATACAGATCAAATAGCATGATCAAGTAGCTATTAACATGGTATATGATACAGTAGCGCAACTCTCGTTTTTTCCGTCTTTGATATTCTTTTGGAACTGATCATTAAGGATATATAATTACCAAAAATCGCAAATATTTCAGATGTAATAAACTTGACCAGATCGGAGATGAGTTGAGATCCTGAAAGTTCCTTGTTACATAAATAATGCTGTATTCATGCACTTCTATACATATATAAACTATGCTCTTCTTTCTTTCTACTTCTTAAATAAACGAAGTTGTGTTGCTGTATTACGCTGTGCCATTAACATCGTTTGGCAACATCTATTTGCTTCGCTTTCATTTTTAGAACGCGACGACTAATCATGGTTGCTAACATTTTTTAATTTTTTTCTGCTAATTTTTTTTACTTTTATAAATTTTATAATTATTTGTACATACAATATTATAATCAGAAATAATGTAAGAAATATAGAAAATGTCATATGTATGTAAATTATTATCTTGAAAAATGAAAAGAATTTACAATTTTATATTTGGAATGCAATCTAGGCCACAATTTATGTATAAAAACTATATTGAATCGAACTGTATTTGGAAACATTTTTAAACAAAAAACGTTAAAACATTCCTTCTCTTTCTTTTTTACTTTGTTAATTTTTTATTTGTTTTCGTAAACCTCGTATATAGACCTTTAATTGCGTATAAAACTAGGTCTAATTAACCTAATCTTAAACAATTATATATGAAATAAAGGTAGAAAAGACCGAAGAAAAAATTGTTTTTTTTTATAGCGAATTCGGGCGCTTGCACTAGTGCACATTGAGTGCGCACTAAGGCTTGTTCTTAATCACAATTGTTATATTTACAGATTATCTCAAATACTTCTTAGTCTGTAAAATGATTTGTACAGCATCCATATAATATAGATATTACAGATTGTTTTATTGGCTAAAAAGTTTTTAAATGTGTATTTAAATGACTTTAAATATAAGAATAGATTATAAACAAGCCTTATAGTGCGCACTCAGGCTGCGTTCGGGAAGCGCGCTATTAGCGCTATTGCATCATTCTATCTTTATCGCTCATCAGGTGTAAAACAAGGATAAAATAAGCAAATAGCACTAATAGCGTCTTCCCGAACGCACCTTCAGTGTGCACTAGTGCAAGCGCCCGAATTCGCTATTAGTTTTCGATGCCAATGGTCGCGTTCAGCAAACATAACTGTTGAGTTCGTCTTATCAACACTCTGCGTTGATTGGTTGGTTCTAAAAGTAAGAGCCAATCACGTTCGACTGCTACTCAGCGGCTTGGTCTGCTGAATGCGCCCAATGTGTTCAGAATGTTCTACTAGCGAATTCGGGCGCTTGCACTAGTGCACACTGAGTGCGCACTAAGGCTTGTTTATAATCTATTTTTATATTTAAAGTCATTTAAATACACATTTAAAAACTTTTTAGCCAATAAAACAATCTGTAATATCTATATGGATGCTGTACAAATCATTTTACAGACTAAGAAGTATTTAAGTACTAAGAAGATCTGTAAATAATAATAATTGATTAAGAACAAGCCTTAGTGCGTACTCAGTGTGCACTAGTGCAAGCGCCCGAATACGCTATAAAACATCGGAAAATCACATTTTAAAAAAATGTATGTGTGTGTGTGTGTGTGTGTGTGTGTGTATATGTATGTAAGGATTTATCTACAATTCAAGATTTAGTCAACCAAATCTTAAAGAATTATATATGAAATGGGAGTAGCAAAAGAAATTAAAAGATGTAATAGAATTAGAAAATTGCTAATAATAAAGGGGTTACCGATTTCTGTTTAAAAAAATCTATGTGATTGCTCTAATTTCCGCAAATTTTAAGATATCGAGCTGAATCTTTTTTTTATGGATAGAGTATCATTAAAGGTAGGTTGGTATTGAATTTGGCGAGGATTGGTAAAGGGGTCTATCAATTTCTGCTTAAGAATTTTTTTAGAAATGGCTGTGTTTTTAGAAATAGCTATAACTTCCGAAAATTTTGAAATATTGCTATTTCTAATTCTATTATATTCTACAGTCTTTTCTCTCTATTTCATATATAATTCTTTAAGATTTGGTTGATTAGACCGAGCTTTATACGCGATAAAAGGTCCATAATTTTTTAAGAAATGTCTGTGGTTATAACTGCAAATTTTGAGATATTGGGCTGTTTCTAATTCTATTATCTTCTTCGGTCTTTTTTATCCTTATTTCATAGATAATTCTTTAAAATTTGGTTAATTAGACCCAGTTTTATGTATGTACGGATTTCCCGAAATGTCAAATGTTTGTGACTCAAGAACTAATCAACCAAATCTTAAAGAATTATATATGAAATAGAGATAGAAAAAAGACTGAAGAATAAGAAAGTTATATAAAAATAAAAAAAATATGCAAATTAGGAATTTGCACATTGCTTCCTCACCATTTTTAAGTGTGCAAATTAGGAATTGTATATTACTTCATCAACACTTTATTTCGCTCATAAAGCTTCCTCTGTGAGGAAGCCAAACTGATAAATATTAATAATTATACAACAAATAAAATACAAGCTTCCTCATAAGAGGAGCTTTGTGAGCGGAATAAAATGTTGATGAAGCAATGTGCAAATTCCTAACCCTTCGTGTGTAACGTCTTTTTCGGCACTTGTAACGGGTAACGTCGGGTCACTCGTCGTGTCCGACGCCTAAAAAATACTTTAAAATGTTCTTAAAAAATCTGAAAAAATTCATGTTACCTTATTAACTATCCTACTTTAAGGATCAATCGCTATATTGCCGATTTTTTTATTTGTTTAAACAATATATTTATATAAACAAATAAAAACGTGAAGAATGGACCATTCTTTGGCAAAAATTAATATATTTAAAAAAAAAATAAAAAGAAATTAAAGTTTAAGAATAGTACTTTAAAGAAAAAAATATTAGAAGTATGTATAAATTAATGGGATGCTTAAGTTTTGAGCATCAAAATCACGTTTTTTGAAAGTACGTAAATAGGTACAAATTACAGTAAAATACACATTTTATTCATTTTTAATCAATTTTATTCATGAAAATGTAATCAATCACAATTATTTATTACAAAATTATAAAAAAGTGCAAAAATATGAAAAAATTATATCGAGGCTAAATTATTGTGCACAGTCAAAACATATTATTTATCGATAACTAAGATTAATCTATCAATTCCCAATGAAAGAACATGAATTTTTAGTAAAAAAAACATCCAAATTAAAATAAACATTTTACTCACCTGCTATTTTTAATCAACGTAACGTGTAATGTCGGGTCACTCGTGCACTTTCAAAATTTCGTCTGGCTCTCACAACGGCTGTTTACGCACTAGACCGTCGGCGCTTGGGGAGCTAGTAGCTTAGTAGTATACAATTTTTTTCAGTATAGTTTGGTCCCGCCCTCCCCTCCTCCCTTCGAGCTACAGGGGACAGTCACTTTCGCCAGGGCACGAGTGACCCGACGTTACACACGAAGGGCTAATTTGCACATTTTTTGTAATATTTTTTGAAATACAGAAAACTTGTAGATAAATAATTTATATTTGTATTTAATTCCTCTTTATCGATGTTTGTATTGGTGTCGAAGTCAATTTGTATCATAAAAATTAGGGGAAAGTCAGAGTAGGATTTTGGAAATAAAGATTTAAAGTGTGTATTAAGCTTACTAACATACAAAATATCTCAAATCTATCAAAGATATCTTTTTAATCCATAGTTCGTCTCTTCTGTATTCAGCTTTTACCAGCGAAGATGACATATCGAAATAGACGTATCGTTACTGTCATATTTTTATTTACACTTTTTTTTATATTTTTATAACTATTTTTATCGTCCTCATTTTTGCTCAATACCTTTTCTTCAAAGAAAGATTTCAAGCAACGTTTAGAAAGATTATTATCTATGTGATTGTATTATCTATCTACTTGTAATAAATTACAAGCAGATATATTGTTTGAAATAATATATGACCAAATTTTTTTAATCAACTAGGAGAACTTTGAACAATTGTATTCTTTTTTAACCAAATTGAAAACTGTTAAGATAAACTGTATACGCTGTGGCGATAATAAAAAGATATGTTTATGATAATTACATTATATTAATAAATAAAGTTCTATGTTATAAGTAGTTCATTACTTCAGTGGTCATCTTAACAATGCGGCACTTAAAATATGCTATATTTTGAAATAATGTTAAAACTACTTCTAGAATGCCGAAACTGTCGGAGACATTAGATAACGAGTCACCACCTAAGAACCGCTCCGCAAAATTGAAAGACACCCAAGAGCAGCGGAGAAAACAGCAAGTGTATTCCCGAATGCAGGTTTTATTGTTCCGGCACAAGGAACTTCTTAAAAAAGATATTCTTAAAAAGAGAGCTTTACTCGAGAAAGAGCTTCAAATCGATATACAGGTAATTACAAATAATATAGCAGATGAATAAATATCTTATGTAACTTTATGTAACATAATAATGACCTAGTATTCACAATAGGTCTGTTCTATTTAGCTGAACTTTTTGCACAGTTCATCTTTTCTCTTTTTCTCTCGAACGTAAAAAGAAAAAGAGGAAAGATAAACCGTGCAAGAAGTTTAGTTAAAAAGAAGGGCCTATTGTCGAATTGAACTTGGAGCCAATCATATTTTGTTTCTGTTGTATGGGCTGAAATATTTGTTTAGTTTAACTTGCGACATTGTCCAATGAAATTTGTAACTTTATTTTTTAACATCCTTTAGCGAAACATCACTTTTAGGATATTGCAAATCGAATTATACAATATCGAAATACTCGCAATATTGCTTAGCTCAATAATGTGGGCACATGGCTGCGTTCAGCGGGTAAAACTGCTTTGCAACTGTTGTATGTGAATCTGATTGGTGTATGCTTTTAATTTTGGCCGAAGCTAAGAGTATACACCAATTTACGAATTTCACAACAGTTGCAAAGCAGCTTTCTCTGTCGAATGCAGCCATAATTAAAACAAAAAAAAACGAAAAAAATACTTTACTACCAAATTTTGAATTGAGAGTTTTAAACCTTATGTCCCATACATAGAATTACAATTTTACTTAAAATGATTTGGAGATGAGATCTTGAATTACATCGAATTACGTTCGGAATTGTAACTGTCAGGATTTTTGTAAAATAATTCTGGTAAAATATTCTCAATAAATATCCTTGCAGAAGGACCTATCAGCGGAACTCGCCACCAGGACGAAAGCAGAGAGACACAAACAAGACGAGGTAAAAGTTGGCAGCGCGAAGCGAAAGGCAAATGCTCAAGTGGCACAACAGGTTAGCCCGTCCAGTCGAAGTGGTGGTAGCAGGCCGAAAAAGCATAAGGGCCATGGTAACAGTACAACGCCTCCTGGAGGTTCGACGGCCGCGTCTCGCATCAAGAAAGAGAAACTATATTGTTTATGCAGAACTCCTTACGACGAAACCAAGTAAGAGTTCAAAACCATACGAGGCCTGATCGAATTTTTATCAATGTATTTTTTTTAAGTTACGTTTTAAGATTGTATCACGTTTTACTTTAATCAAAAAATACAGTCTTGTGAGATTTTTATTTTATTTGTGCGATACCGCTGGTAGATTCGCGATCAGTGAAGTAGAGAATCTACAATAGTATCATACAATATTTTTTAGTTAATTATATTATATTTAAATTTAAAAAGAGACTTTAAACCTTAATGCCAATTATAAGATGTTGATAAAGTTGTACAAATACCAATCTTTCTTTAAAGGTTTTATGTGGGATGTGACTTATGCAATAATTGGTTCCACGGTGACTGCGTGGGCATAACGGAAGAAATGAGCAAGTCTCTGTCAGAATTTGTTTGTACAGAATGCAGACACGCGAGAGATACACAAGAATTGTATTGCCTATGTAAACAGCCTTATGACGAATCTCAGTAAGTGGATTATGTATCTGATAAAAAATTGTGTTAATAATAGAAATATCTAGTAAAAAAAAGTATAGTACATTTATGCATGTGTGTGTGTTAATGTGTGTTTTTAATATATGTACAATGCTACATAAAGTTATGTATAATTACATGATTAATTTTCAATTTTATATTTTCAATTATAATTATATTTTTTTATTATATGGTGAGCATTTAGAGTAATGCGTTAATTTTTTTTTAAAGATTTTACATATGCTGCGACAAATGCCAAGATTGGTTCCATGGCCGATGTGTTGGTATTCTTCAATCAGAGGCCGACAATATTGATGAATATGTCTGTCCAAATTGCCAACGCAATTCTTCTGTCAACTTTGCTAATATGAAGAACCTCAATGCAAAAGACCTCGATCTGTTAAAGAAATTAATTAAACAAATACAGGTATAACATCTTCATTAGACTATATCGATGATTCTTATAAATTAATTCTTTCGTCTCTAGCAGAAAATGTCTCTGATAAAGGTTCTAAAATAATTAGTTATGTCTAGAAATTGCCATTTAAAATAAGTTTCTTTATTATTTATGATTCCTTCTCTTTTATTATTTATCAAAATAAAATAAAGATGAAGAGCTAAAAATAATATTTTATCCGATATATTAAAATAAGAAAATACTTTATTCGGTTAAAGTTTGAACATTCTATTCAAAGAGATAAAGACACACGATATCCAAAATATGCGAATTGTTTATTATAGGCTCATAAAAGTGCATGGCCGTTTATGGAACCAGTAGACCCTAATGAAGCGCCAGATTATTACAAAGTGATAAAAGAACCAATGGGTAAGTATCATGATTATCATCATTTTAGTAATCTATTTTTCTCTTAGATAAATCATTTTGATTATGAAAGCAGAACTCTTTCTTTGAGCGTGATATATATGTACATTTTTTAAAATTACAATCTAATTGTTTATATATCTGATATAATTATACTTGCATTTCATTGTTTTAGACTTGCAGACTATTGAATTAAGGATAAATGACCGGTCCTATAAGAAACTGAGCGAGTTCATCGGCGACATGACAAAAATATTCGACAATTGTCGGTATTACAACCCGAAGGAATCGCCTTTTTTCAAATGCGCCGAATCCCTGGAGACGTACTTCGTTCATAAGATTAAAAGTCTAAGGGAGAAGTTCTCGGAAGGAAAGTAATTCAATCAAAAAAAAAAAAACCCCGATGTAGCCATATGTGGAACCGAATCGAATCGAAGTGGAAGTGCACATGAATCAATTTAGTGCAGTGCGTTTTACGGAAAACAGAAAACGGAACAGTTTGTGCCAGTACAGTATGTAGAAAAAAAAACTGAAACTCTCGGAATAGATTTAAGGTTGTAAAAGTAGAGAAGGCACCGGTTTCCGCTATTTATTATAGTTGTGTGAACATTTTTCTCTCCCCCTCTCACCTCCCTCACTGCAATTTACTGAGTTCTCAGTTCCAGTTGTGCTGTACGAAGTGTGAATTTTAGACCAGAACTTACCGCTTATGCCGTGTCGGATAAGTTGATTTTTATCTACGAAGATATACCTTCGTTTTGCCGTCTATTATTGCGTGAAAAAGAAAAAATAAGCCATATAGCAAAATTCACGTTTTTTTCAACAACATTTACTTTTTTAACCATTGCGTTATTGAAGTATAATATATAATTATGTAACATAGTTATCTTTCTGTTCATTACTGAAAGCCCCCTTTTATTCGTTATCTTTTTTAGACATGTGGAAATGGGGAAGGTTTGACAGACCACAAGGTCGTTTTGTTCTTTTAACACGCTCACTAGCCGTCCAATTTAACTCTTTACAGTCATGACAATGCATCATTTTCAATCGCTCTTTAAACCCTCTTTACACTTCCTGCAACACTTCAAGTGAAAGAACCTCCTTTTACGAAAGTGATTCCCTTCAGAGTTCAAGTAACGTTTAGTGAAAGTTTTGTATTACGTCTCATGCGCATGTGCACGAAAATGTTTAAATAAGTTCCATACTGTAGTTGGTACTCGCGAACAACGTTATTATGAAACCGCGTCCGCAAAACCGTACGAAATGCAGATTTGCCTCTTTCTCGCGTTATAACATTGCCTGTGTATTTTTTACGGAAAAGAAATGGAAGATTCGATTGGAAAGAAGGAAATGGCGCAAATTTGCAACGACGCGATGCCCATTGTGAGCATATAAAGTGATGTGTAAATGATGACTCTCCTTGAGTCACGAAGTTATCTCATCTCCGGAAGCAATACTACAATGAGGTAAAATTATAATGCGCGAGTTCACTTTAAGTCGTCTCTAAGAGATTGGTCTTATTTAATTATTTATCATTTTAATATTGAGTTCTCGCGCGGAGGTATATCATTTCCTATGCAACGAATGAATTGTATCAGCCTTTAAAAGAAATGTGAAGACAGAGTATCTAACACCGACATAAGTTAACAAAAAATATGAGCTTGAATAGGTGAAATTCAGGATTGTGAAGGTTTAAATCTACGCATTACGATATATATCGACAAAAACCTGCAAGTTTATTTTTTGTATATTGAGAATCTTTTCCTGTACACAGGAAAATACATATGTGTAATAATAAATCTAAATATATATACATATGTATATACATGCATACGTATATATATTTATATAGGATTCCAGGTAGAGATAATTTCGTGCGTAAAATCGCCACGTTTACTTCGAGTTCATGCAATAGTTGTAAGTTGTGGTTCAGAATTCATGCGCCATTCATCATGTTACGCTATTATTTATGTATGTATATACAATATGCGACCGTGATATCACGTCCGATGGTCCGAGTCGCGTGAAAAAGGAGAAACGATTGGCTATCTGACGAGTACACTTGAGACGGTCGAAAAAAATGCTACTCCACTTTACTATTTCTTTATAATGTATCCGACGTGAAAGAAAGGGAAAGCAAAGGAAAGCAGTTGTGTCATCGTATAGCCGTAAGACTATTTTTTAGGATTACACGCATAATAAATTGTACAAATTCGTTTATCGTCTCGTGCTCACACAAGCTAGCGATTACGATTCTATTTACTTATGCGTTGTTTTAATCACATAAATAAATTTTCTATGAAATTGTTTATAATCGACGATTCACATTTAGGCGTTTAGATTGTAAGGGACGGGCAGCGTTGGCTGCTTATGTATATATACGCAACACCACACAACTACACACAGATATGAAAAAAAAAGGAAAGTTTATCTGGAAAAGAAAGGCAATTGTAGAATTCTTTGATTTCCAAACAAGGAGAAAATAAAAAGCCAGTGAAAAGTACAGAGGAGTTTGTTTAAATGAAACGATAATGAAAAGGAAACTATCGTTTATATTTTAGCTGTATTACTAATAACGGGAGCTTTCCAGCAGGCGACACAAGTCAACATAAACGTCGTTCTAACTTTCTTTTTTGGCAATGAGTAACAAAGACCGACACTTGTGTCGACTTTTGTGTCAGTTGCTGGAAAGCTCCCAAAAATGTGTAATGGATCAAAGCACACTTTGATTCTGTGTTTGTTGGATGAATATAGAGCGAGCCACAGATATTTCCTTGCGCAAGGCAAATATATATATAATTATAGCAAAAATATGAGAGAGATAATTTTAAGTATCTGTATATTTAAAAATTATAGCTTTTGCCTCATACTTTGATTGTGAAAATTAGTGGATATTACTGACGATTTTTATTAATTATATATATGAACTTTGAAATCTATTGTTCTTATTAAGTTGATTGGTAATTAATGCAACCAGTAGAATTACTTGAAGCAAAGTTTCTAGAAAAATAATACATTGCCTCTGATCTAATCTTTCTTTTTAAAAGTGATAAAAAGTTAATGATTTTATCCACGTTAACAAAATGCATATATTGCATAATGCAGATCTAGCTATGTAATTCGTTGCTCCTGATCTAATCTTTCTTTTTAAAACGACAAAAAATTAATAATTCTGTCCATGTTGACAAAATAACTAATTTTATTATTAGATATTGTAGATAGATATTATTTTATAATTTAATCATCGATTAATCGGAAGTCAATCGAAGTCACCCTAATCGATTGTCCGACGTGGTTGTCGATGACGAAGTATTCTTCCGAACGTTCCGAACATATCTTTCGCAGAGTACTTTTGCGCAGATATTCATGGAATCTCCCAAATTAGCATCAACACGAACATCAGACGTATAAAGGTAGCCGAAAAAGTTCCTTCAAAGCGTAAATAACGTAATTCAAAATTGAAGATCAACCATGATAAGGACCGCATTTCTGTTAGGTAACCGGAGATCAAGGCAGTTTCAGCAAAACGCGACAGAAAAAAGTATAATCTAAACATAAACTGTACAGATATATATCAAATGATCGAACAATGATATATTTGACATGTTATGGTCATGATATATAAAATTAGCCGATATATCCCAGTAATCAAAATGATAGCAGTATATCGGCAGATTGCAGATTTGATAAAACATGTTTTAGCAAACTCGACATCATCTGCGTTCGCATTCAACTTATGTTCTGCCAACGAAGTCTGCTAAATAAAACGTAATCAAACAGCAGATTGGTAGCAGAAACCACACATATAGAGCCTGAGTAAATTGGCGGCAGGAACCGCGCAGAACCTGGACGGTTCCTGCAGCCTGTGTTCGATTTCTGCCGCCAATCTGCTGCTTATTATGTTAGCCAGTTGGCAGACTCTGTATTAGAACCAATTATTAATATAAAAAAAATATGCAATAGTCTTTCTGCCGACAAAATTTGTAACAGATAACTTGGCTGCCTGGGATTATGATGAGAAACCATAAGATCACCCCACAGAAGATACTTTTGTAATGACAATGTTGATGACTACAATTATTGCAGGTAAATATTGATAAATAATATATAGAATCTCATTTTTTCACCAAGATTATGTATAATTTTTTATTATTATTATTTTGAAACACGCGTGCGCGTGTAGGTAGCAGAGGTAACGTTAATAAAATTATAGTCTCTTTTCTTTTTTTATTATAAAATTGTTACGCGCGAAACATCATAGAACATTTATGCATGCTCGTGTATGTATGTACACTGCATATGAGGGAAAAAAACGTGAGAAAAGACTGAAAAGAATTGCGTGGACACAGAGTTACCGCTATATTTGTGCACGCACACAAACCACTAAGGGAGATCAATATCGGTATGGCGGCGCGGGAGGAGCGGCTTCACGCGGTGCGATCGTCCACGATCTACGGTTAAGGAAGAGAACGCGATGGCACGCGACGTTTCTCGCCGGTCGACGACGCGGCCAGACACCACGGGGTCTACGGGGTCTCGTTTTCACCGGACTACGGCCGAGCGCCCGGGATCGCATTAGCAATTAGTAGCAGGTGGAACGGTGCCGAGTGTGGAAACGTCGTTTCCCGTTGACAGAACGAGCGTACGTCAGGGAGAACGAGAGCGGGCCTCGACAGTGAGGAGACCGGTTGACAGATCGCCCGCTGCACCGGGACGACGATTAATCAACCATCACCATGGCGAAGTATGCTCGCGCGTAATCGTGCCGCCTTATCTCATTAGAATACGCACGGGCACGCACACTCGCGATTGCGGGCACGCGACGACGTGATGCTCTGTTTACTATTTCCCTCTTTCCCTGTCCTTGCGACCGCACGCAACTGCGCAACGACGACGTTCTGCAGGTTCCTCGAGAGTCTCGAGACTCGTGAAAGAGAACGCGGAGTTTCTTTTAAGCGTTCAAATCCCACAAAATTGTCTCGACGCGCGATCTCCCGTAGAGCGTGTGCCTCTCCAAGGTTGCTTTGATAGGCTGCCGCTCTGCTCTGCGGAGTACTGACGAGCTACAATTGACATATGCGACTTGTAATTTTATCTTATCTCGCCTGGATGCCGTATCGGTTACTGGGACCGCCTAATCGGTCGATTATTCGCTCGGGAATGATTCAGTCATGCACCAAAACTGAAACATTCTGCGGAAGCTGCGGAACGTGTTCTCTGCATTGCCCGGTGCAATTTTCTACAATGAAATACTTTAAGATACCTTCGCAATTATTGTCAATATATTTAAACAGATCAGATCTGGGTAAGCTGTGTGTAATCTTGTAACTGGAAACAAAAAGTAAATTTAGGCTCCCCACGAATGTTACGTAATATGGTTTATCACGTCTACAAGCTTGCTGTTTTGTTTCAATATATCCTACAAATAAGCTTAGCTTTATAATTATAATTGTTTTGATATCCAAATCTAGGCCTAGGCTTATATTCGATTAAAACTACAATAAGATAAGTTTGTCCTAGAATTCAGAACAAAACCTTCGTTTTCAGAGAGATGATGATAGTATTTGTTTACGACACTGCAAAGTGTTGTAAAGAGGAGGATGACCCTGCCGAAGCAGTTATGTACTTTCATCCGGCTTGGGTATCTCTTACGCAGAGACTGGCTCTGGCGGGACAGTTAATGGGAGTGCATCACTTCCTGACAACGTCGTTTTCAGCGCCACGCTCTATCACGTTGCAAGGCGGAAAATTTGTGTTAAAAAAGTTCGGGCAATATGTATTGGTAAGTGCATTTCACTGCGGAACATTCAATTGCTATTGTGTGATACGATAGGGGTCCGATTTTGACCACGTTTGCGATTGATCACAGCCATTCATAATGACTGGTGCCTAGAGTTTTTCCACTGGACCAGTGTGAGTGGGTGTGATACGATTTTAGATAAAATGTAACTTGAGAGCTGTATATACAAACAGATAATCTATAATATAACATTATTCACTGAGAAAAAAAAATCGTAGATTCAAAGAAATATTATTTGATTCAACTAAATGCAGGGGTCACGGGCTGTCAAGCTAACATTTGTTAATTCAAAAAATATTATATTTAAATAGATTTAGAATTTCTTGATATTACCCACGTATATTTGATTTAAATATATTAATATTTGCATTAAACAAATCACTACAACTAAACGAGTTTAGTCAAATTTACAACATTTTTTTCTCAGTGTTGTAATTGAGTGGTTATAATATAGTTATGTACTCTAAATAAATGTTAATCACTAAATAGTAATATTAGCTTTTAAGTAAGTAATAATATTAGCTACTAAGTAATATTAATATCAAAAACAAGAATATCAATATCAGTATTAAGCTTCAAAGTAGCCTGGCTTTTCTCAAAACTCCTCCAAGAAATATGGAGTACACACGTCGCATGATGTTTTCTTTACATATATTATTGCGTTTTGTATTGTTCGATATTGATAGAGACGTTATCTGGTGACACCATTCAATCGTCGCAATATTTACAAAGAGCTAATATGTATGTTCGTTGTGGTTCACAACTCAATAGCCATTTAGGAGATTAATCGTAAGTTTAATCGTAAATTACGTTGTTTAATTTTGTTAGGCAGTGGGGACTGATAGAAACATACACGACTGGATACTCGAGAGACGCGCCGACACTCTGGAATCGTTGTTGAAATTCTTTCACTGCGACCTCGTCCAGATACTGGAATCCCTCAATAACGATCGTAATAGATTCACCGAGAAATTGTATCAGATGTTTGAGACCTATCTGCCAATTCTTCAACATAGTGCCAATCTATTTTCCAACATTCCTGTTATTAAGCTTCCAAAGGTTAGTACGGATAATACTAAGTACAAAAGCAAAATGCTGCGAGATAGAAAAATACCGAATATAGATACGAATATCAAAACAATTATAAATTTATACGATTTTATATATTTCCTCTCTCGCAATAAAAGTTTCTTTTAATGTAGAGTGCCAGCAACATATTCCTGGAAGGAATGCAAGTGTTACAGCATTGTCAAGAGATAAATGGCATTTTGGGCGGAGCGTTATTTTACAATAACAAGTACGAAACAGACATCCATAAGTAAAATCATATTGTTGCTTCAATATCGCGTTCTAATATTTTTTCAAACATTAACACTAATTATATATTCTGATGTTATTAATTGCTGTTAGTTACTTTGGTCTTTTTAAGATCACCTAATCTTTATCAATCTTCTTTCTTTCAGGATAGTCTCAACGCAGCTGGGAGCAGATCTAACGAAACAAATAGTCATAACGGATCCTTACAGGATAAAGGTATTTCTTTGATTAGACTTGAAAATTAAATGTAAATGTAGCTGATCGAATAGAATGACGCGTACTGGCTTTTAGCGAAATCGATCGCTTCTGTTGATAAGAAATTCATAATGCATTGAATTTGAAGGCTCCTGCGGAAAGGATACCCACGGAATTTCACTTGCCGATCGGTGTTCAATTGTTACAAGTGTACATAGAGCGGAAGCAATTCGCAAAATTAATGCAAGAAGCGAATAACGAGCGGTACTACAATTCGTGTCTAGATACCGTGACCAAGAAAATATTACAGAGGAAGGTAGGTGTAGGACGCGATGACACAATATAAATATATAAAATCTAATTAGATATCCTGACTTTTCAATAAAAGTTATAATAACCGACCACTTGTAGATCGCCTTGCGTTCAATTCGATGAACTTTCAGACCGTATCTAAGACCGGCGTCAAGGAACCACCCATTACGTCCGGCATGAAGCGGGATACATCGAAGATTTTCACGGTTCCCGAGGAAGGTGAACTGGACTCGACGAATTACCCGCCGGCGCCGGCTCAATATGTGTCGTCCGTGCCGCTTGCGGTCAAACACGACTCACCGATCAGACGCAAGCAAGAAATCAAGTCAGAACGTCCCAAGGGTGGTGTCACTGCCAATCCGCTCACGCCCAGTGTCTGCGCGACACCGTTGAAGGACGTGGACCGGGTGTTACACGGGAACGCCATGCTCATCTGCTCGTCTGAGAGCGGCGGTGAAAACGAGGGACTTAGAAGCTCGTCGAAAAGTGATGACGACGACATTCCCGACGTCGTTAAAGAAGCGCTCAGGTACATGTTTATTTTTAAATTAATTTTTAGAAATTCTGTGAAACTTAACCCTTCGTCCCACTAGGTGGGTCGTTTTCGTCCGGGCAAAAATCAAATGTAGTTGTAACTTTTGCAAACGCGTAGAAATGGCGCCACTGCGCATCCGTAAAAAAAGTTATGCTCCCCGAGAACCCGCCTACCGAGTTTTAAGGCGCCAGACCCCCTCCAGCCGTCACAGGAGACACGTAATTCTTGAAAAAACGAGGTTGGCGGCGAACACTTAAGCACTTCATTTCAAAATAATTGCATGCAATATTTTTTTTATGAAAGGTACGTTTTTCCCCTTCAATTTCTTTTTTTATTCATTTCGATATCTTTATTTGTCTTAAAGTTATGATTTTTTGAGTAAAAGATGATTTTACAAGTTGTAGTTGTAGTTGCTCCATTTCTTAAATAAAAAATATGTGAAAAAATTAAATTGCTTATAATTTTATGATTGATACTTCAAATTGAAGGTTTGACTTACCTTCATGAATTTTTTCAGATTTTTTGTAACACTTTAACATTTAAAAAAAACGTCAAGACGAAAACGACCCACCTATGCGGCGTAAAGGTGCCAAAAAAACCTAGTGGGACGAAGGGTTAAGATTATGCACTTCGAAGTTACTTTTACAAAGTTTCATTGAAATCGGAGGTGGACCGTTTTCGAAACTTTCATCCCGAAGTAAGCTTGGTGACATATAATTGTCCAGCTTGCAAAATAATCGAATTTTGATTACATATAATAGATGTAAACGCCTGAACAAGCTGAGAAACGCTACTTCGAAGAAGAAACTGATAAAGAGGAAAGATCCCGACAGGAAGAGCATGAGCCTATCGGACTTGACGTCATTAATCAAGCCACGTTTAAACGGTATTCCCAGGGCTCGTCAACAGGAACTAGACAAAATGTAATTGAATTAATGCTATAGCTACCCGATTACTGAATACGTATGATTATTGAGTCGGTAATTGCGTTTTAAAAAATAATGGAATCAAACCCATTGTATAATGCAGACGAACTTAATTTCTATAAAACGAATGTTCTATAAAACTAATTTTATTTTAATATTTCTATTCTATTAACAGACTATGCAAATTAAATGAAGTCTCGCCGGACGATCCGAATTCACCCCGGCGGAAATTCACCAGAAGTAACATGCGGCATTCGCGCACTATCGTTGATCCCTGTTATCCCGTCTTCCGATATGATGGTCTACCAGTTTCGCAATCTTTGTATGAGCAATACATCGCCTCGCACTGCGAGGAGCTGCGCGATAACGACGGCGTTCACGAGCGTCGTAGCGATGACGACAATCTACAATCGAAAAGCCTGCCAAGCGACCTGACGAGCGCGAAATTACCGATAAACAGCAGCCGGAACTCAATCACGAAGGATGATCGCGAAGGTACGTTATTTAAATGAGCTAAAAATCTAAAAAAAAATTTTTTTTTAACATAAAAAGTAGAATGCATTTCCAACGTTGCTAAAGAGAGGAGTAATAGCAGTAAAAATAGTAACAACAATAGTAGTGTCGTGAATGTTCTAGTGTTCGAAACATGTTTCAAACATTTGTTTTAAATATAAACCTTCAGAATGCGCCAAACCTGGGTATGACAAGAGCAAGCAAGAGACGTACAAGAGATCGATGAGTCTGCCGCTGAAGCCGCTCAACGTCGTCGCTGAAGTGTCCAACGGCGACGATCGGCGGAAATCGACGTCGGAGTGCGGTGGTGCTGGAAGCTCGTTTGAGTTTCCGCAGAGACGGAAGCTGGACGGTTTACAGTTGACGCCGCTGATGTCGAAGCTGAGTCTGCTGGCTGACGAACGAACCAGCGGCTTCTGCAGTCGCGAGACCACGCCGAGCGAATTCCGCGATTTGTCCGGATTTTCCGGTGGTGCGACAGTCACCGCGACAACGACAACGACGAATCAGCTGATCCGGCAAAAACTGGAGTCCGTCGAGAAGGAAGCGAGCGATGGTGAGGATGAGCTGGAGGAAGACTGGGTCAACAAGGATGAGCCCACCGCCTGTCTCGTGAAGACCGAGCTCTTTCTCTGCGGCTATCAGAATATGGTGCTGGTGTTGCTGATGGAAAACGGCACCGCGAACAATCCGGATTTGATACATGCACTGGTAAGTGTGAAAAATTTATATGTTCTGGAATTTATTGGATTTAAATGTTTAAAAAATTACGATGAAAATTACGAAGGATTATTTTTGAATAATAATATAATAGTGCCAATTTTTAAGAGAAAAATTGATACAATAATTAAAAGATTATGGAATAATTGCCCGAAATATTCTCAAATGTTATTTCTGTAAAGACGCGGATAACAGTCATAATAAATGATTTGTTTCGTATAGTGGCATACCTGTGTGAGTACGTTGGGTAAGCTCGAATCGCGACTGCAGCAGTGCCTAGAACCAATGCCATCCACGGAAAATAAAGAGTTGTACAGTATTCTGAATGTGGATCCGCAGTGGGACACAGTGCAGCGTTCCGGACTTTGGGGCGTTACCGAGCTGGACATCGTATCCTGCCTTCACGACAGATTTACGCAAGCCAGAAGTTTGACAGACATTATCGTCAGGTAATTACGAAACTCTTCATTCTTTACAAACTAAAAAAAGTTTCACTGTTTTTTATTTTATATCTAATTTATATTACGTAAAACTTTTTTTTCGTGAATTAGTTTTAGTTTTGTCCTTGTAAGACAAACATTTTCTAATAGATGATTAAAATCATGTTAATTACGATGTCTTTGTGTAACGCTTTATTTTGTTAAGTTACAAGTTGCAATATTTGCCGAAAATTTAGAAATTCTTATAACATTATGTGGATTATGGCGAGCGAATATGTTGAGACGTTTACGACAGGAATCGAATTTGCCGAAAGATCCTGACATAAAAGAATATTTTGATTGAGCAGAACGGAAGACACGGTAGTTTACGGTAACCAGAGCGGAGGAGTAGAAGTTTTCTACCAGCAAGCGGTGGCACCAGGTACTTTTGCGGCGCTTCCTACCCCAGCGGATCTGATGGGGATCGTGGCTCTCAAAGCAAAGCGTCGATTGGAAAGAGATCACGGGATCGTGTTACTGTAAATCCAGAACTGCGCGTTACTTCTTTTTCTTTTTTTTGCCAGAAAAAAAGAGTAGGATAATGCATACGTTCACAATTTCGCTTGTTTGCTCTCGGCAAGAGAGATCATCATATCCAGTACAAGAGAGGAGAATCGTACGTTATTTTGACGGGATAATTTTAACAACGGAAGATATACGGCTTTTCTACGGCGTATTTTTGTAATCTGTGATTTTCCAACATACCGAGCGTAATTCCAGGAGAATTGGCTGCGATCAAAAAGAGCTTTTATATACCACTGTGGTGTACCCATGCATTCTTATCGTGTAATACCGGTCGAAACATTTTTTACGATAACGGATCGTCGACCAACCAATTTGTATACTTTACCGTTTCATCGATAGTGCAAATTGATATCATAGCAAATGTTATTTGTATTATATATGTTATTGTATATAAGATGTCTTAGGATCGACGGAAAGTGGATAGCATTATTGTTCTTAAAACTTGGAGACAGTTTTTAGAATTTTGATCTATCAGTATATCATGAGACATATCTCAGTAGATTCTGATTTATAGGCCATTAGAAATGAGAAGTCTTTCAGGAATCAGACTTCGAAAGAGAAGATAAGTAATGTAACATTGTATTTAATTTTTGAAGCGAGTTTTACGTCAATAAGATTTTTATTTGATTAATTACACAATTTGCCGTCTATATAATTATTATAAAAATACTTGCTCTGTCTATTATTTAAGAGTTACTAGAGAGTTACTATGTAGAATATTAATATCTGAAAAAAAATTGTTGACTCTCCAAATGTGAGGTACACTGTATCTTCATTGATTCTCGGACATCCTGTATAGAGTCGATTTATTGTACATGTACATAACGAGCCGTTAGTAACTTATTTGCATTTTAATCAGCGCGAATCAGACACTCAGTTTTAGAGGATAGTTAAGGGTATATATTCTCCGAAAAAGAAAGACGGAAATCAGTATTCCGCGAACGCGCTACATCCAGTATTTCTAGTCGTCCGAATTGCTTTTGTAGGGGAAAAATAGAGACGATAATAATATTGCAAAAATCATCTGCTCGACATTGTCAATTTTAATGTAAAAAAATATTTTATGCGACATTTTATGCGCAACGTTACCCGTCATCGGTGTTGAATCCGTTTTTGTCTCGCAAGATTTACATAAAAATGTCGATGATCTCGCGCAGGAATCTTCCGCGAGACAAGTTTTTCATTACAACGATATGTAATATTTCCAAATATTTATATTGCGATTAATTTATGCTAATATATTGCACCGACGAGATTTTTGGCGAGCAGAGTTGAATCATGTTATGTCATTGTCTGAATTTTCTAATGACTTTCTCTGTATTCGATAGTCCATGTGTTTTGTTTGAGATCTAATAAAGCAATTTATCATTCTTTAAATACTTTCTTGATCTTGTTTTTCGGTGCGTCCTATGATTTTTTGTATAATAATATTAATTAAAATTATTTATTTAATTATATAAATTATAATTATTGTATAATATAATGTTTAATTATATAATTGTTAAAAATTAATTTAAATAATTATATATCGCGAAGTGACAATCGATTGAATGCTACTATGCTTCTGATAAATGGATGAAGTTTAAATTAATAATAACAGAGGCAGGCACTGTATTTATCACATAGCACATAGCTAATAGCTACTGCATCATCGAAGCGTTTAACGTAAACAACAAAAAAGTATGCTCCAATCTAATATTACGTATAAATGCATAAATGCATTAGAGGGTGTGTACGCAGAAAATTCTGCATTCTAACACCAGGCGACATAAATATGTTTGCTACGTGCTGCGGAAAGTGAGATGTTTATGCGAAAAACTTTTAATATGCCGAAGGTGACAAATAAAATATTCGATGTTATTCGATTTCATTGAAGCGAATGAGAGAGATATAGAAAAATCGAAAAAGGGCATTTTATCGTACCATCTAATCGCTCTTTACGAGTGAATTCCGTTTCACGCATGATGCGCATAATGCATCATTTATTCTTGTTTATTTGGTAAACAACAAAAATGAATAATGCATTATGCGCCCTATATATATTGCGATTTTTATATAAATGCTTTTTTTAGGAAGAAATCCTTTTTTAATCGTTTCTATTTATTCGACTTTACCATAGCATTTATATTTCTCAATTCTTTCCACGTTTCTTTACTGCAATTTGAAAAATCGCAAATATTTTTAAAATAATCTTCTCGCTTTGTGTAATAATCGGAGTTATCAGAAAATTACCGGAATTATATATATATATATATATATATATATATATATATATATATATATAGAAAATAACTGTAAATGGAAGTAAAATCTTTTATGATGCAATAGGATTGTCACCTTCAAAGACCTTGCTTATATGTTGTCACACACGTGGCATGACATACGTGCTCTACGATTAATCGGAGAAATGTGTTTTCTTATGCCTTATGCTAATTAAGAAGGCGAGCCCACCTCGAATGCGTGTCGTTGAGTGTGTCCCAGCTGTAATGACGCATTTAATTAAGCTCACTCACTGCAGCCATCTTGAATTAATGATGTCAGAAACGAGAAAATATATCATATATAAAAATTTTTGCAATGTTATTAAAATAAAAATGTTTTAATTAAATATCTTATCGCTTTGTATAATAATTGGAATTATCAGAAAATTACCTATGAAAAATAAAAACTCTAATGAAAATAAAACTTATGATGTAATACTGGGAATCTTCAAAGACCTTGTTTATGTGCTGTACATATGTAGCACGGGATACCTACGTGCTCTATAGGATTAATCGGAGAAATGTTTCCTTATGCCTTATGCTAATTAGTAAGGCGAGCCCACCTCGAATGCGTGTCGTTGAATGTATCCCAGCTTTAATGACGCATTTAATTAAGACTCCGGTTCATTGCAGCCATCTTGGATTGATGATGTCAGAAGCGAGAAAATATATCATAAAAATTCTTGCAACGTGCATTAAAATAAAAATGTTTTTCAATTAAATAGCATATATGTAATCGATAGAATAGATTTTTAAAATATACCGAAAATACTTCCCTTTTGAAAAATCAATAAATAACCCATATATATATATCGAATTAAATTGTGCCTAATCAAAAACGAAAACAAGCTGTTTAACAGCTGCCGAATTGAAATAAATCTTTGCTTTCTTGCTGTTAAATTATAACAAAATGAGTCTTCAGTATATTTTAACTACGACAATTATTTTAAACATAAAAACACTACACTACAACGAAAAATGATGCTGTAGTCTGTACGTTGCAAGAATAAATTGCTAAATAATAAAAAGCTATTTTTAATTATCTTATAGTTTACAATTTTACTAAGAGTGACGCTGTTGCGTACTGTCAATATGGACTTGGCATTCGGCAATCAAGCCAGCAGGATTCTTAAAAAAAAAAAACCTGCCTTCGTCACCGGTCTGATTTATGGACCGCCGATCATGAAGAACGTGGCGCAAACAAGCCTCCGTCGTAGACCAATAGCGTGACACGGCAGGCCCGTGGATCGTCGGTGGGCTCGATATTTAAAGCGGAACTCAATGTGCGCTCCACAATAATCGAGTGCTCGGTATCGTCATAGAAGATACTTTTTACCGCTTTCCTTGATTTTGAAAGCCATCATGGTAAGTTGGAGAACTGTCATCTGGTAACAGAGTCATCATTTTTATAATTTAACTTGATTATTGATTGAACAGTACGATTGCTTATCTAATGTGCAATTGTCCAACACTTATAATTCGCAAAGATAAACTTTTCTGAGATCTTTTATTTGTCCAACATCAAAATAATAAATTCTTCGCGTTTGCTTCCAGACGAGCTACACCGATAAAGGACCCCAGGTAGACATCACTTCTTGTTAAAGTGTTGGGAAGAAAAATAAGTTGTTTTCTCGCCTGATGGAATTACTACTACTATTTAGAATTTATACATAGTGATTATAATTATAAAGAATTACTACTAGAAATGTGACGCGCAATATTGATATTTTTTAGCCCATTGGAGGAAAATTCATCAGTTTCGATCACATAAAATTCTGGGTCGGAAATGCGAAACAGGTAAATTCTCATATACTGAATGTTTTTTAATACGTGAGAAATATCGTAGGAAAATAAACAGCAATCATAAATGTATATTCTCTAAAAGTCGAAAAGTGAAATATCATTCAAAACGAGAAAATGCAAGTGTAATAAAAAATAAAAATTGAGTCTGTGCACTTAATTCGAGTAATTCGCCACTCTAAGAAAAAGTAAAAGGGCACTCTTTTCGAGTGCAAAAGATCAGTGTCTATAGGAGTGAATTTAGAGTGGAAAATTTCACTCTGTTAAAGTCATTTATCAGTTAATCTTTAGTGAATCGTGATTTACTCTATAGTTTTAGAATGAGATCGTATCACTCTGATAGAGTATAGTCACTCTAAAAATTTGAGTGAAAAATTCACTCCTACTTTATGAGTGCCCGCATTTACTCAAATTAGAGTACTCTCTAATTTGACAATCCTCTCTTTTGGAGTGACTATCGCAATCACTCTAATATATTAGTGGCGAAACCATTCTATGAGACTTAGAGAGTAGTATTCAATATAATTCTGTTCTTTATCTATAGCTGCATTTGAGTTTTATCAGTTTTATCAAGATACTATGTACATAAACTTGTTGATTTTCTGCCCTAAATTCGTGTTCATAATGTTTCCTACATACTAAGAAACGCCTCGTATAAAGAAAATAGAATATAAGAAACAAAATAAAATCTAAAAATGCATCCAAGAGACACACGTATGTGCGCAGCGAACAGATCGTGTATTTTTACGCGAGTATCCGAGATTTTGAGATAGATTACATATACGTGAAGGTAAAACACAATTGCTCGTTAGGCTGCCAGTTTCTATCGATGCAGGATGGGGTTCCAGCCGTTTGGATATCGCGGTTTGGAAACTGGCTCCAGACGAATAGCCGCGCATGTAGTGAAACAGAACAAAGTGAGTAACTTTAAACGCACGCACGAATGTGTAAGCACACACAGTAAAATAAATCAAAATGTAACGTTATAGAAAAAATCTTCAATAGATTTACATTATTCAATAGTTTATTTAAAGAGTAGCGTTATTTTCGAAATCTTGCATATGATCTTCCGAAACGCATAGTTTCCTAATCATCAGGATCGTAATCATAGATAGTGTTCGTGTTCGAATCCCCGTACGAGTCTGATAATGAAGAAATGTCGGATCATCTTTCTCGACATGGGGACGGCGTGCGAGATGTTGCGTTCAACGTTGAAGATATCGACACCATTGTGAAGGTAAGAAACAAAGAAAATGCTTTTTCTTTGCCTAAAAAATACAAGTTCCTTTATTAGTAAAATTTCCACGTTGCAAGATAAAATATCCTTTCCGGAATTAAAATAGGCATAATTAAAAATAGCGTCAAAAATTTTTTCCTATCGGAAAATAATAGTAAAGTCATTTTCAAGTTGTCTTTACTGATATTTTAAACAATGCATGCCAAAAGATTGCCAAGAAAAGGGGCGCCGAAATAGTGCGCGACATATGGGAGGAAAGCGACGAATATGGCACTGTGAGGATGGCCACTCTGAAAACTGTAAGTATAAAAAATGATACTTCTCTACACGATCTCCGATATCGTCATATTCTAGATGTCAATTGATTCAACGCCACTTTCAGTATGGCGATACGCTCCATACGCTTGTCGATAGGATGAAGTACAAGGGTTTCTTCCTGCCGGGCTTTGCAAGGCCATCGGAGGATACTCTTCTCAAACAATTGTGCGTATGCAAAAGCGCGATTCCTCATACAGTAGCAACTAACAAAAGCTACACTGTAAAAAATTTAATGTCCCAGAAAGTCCACTCTAAATTTTGTGTTAAAATAACACAATGCATGAGTTATTTTAACACAAAATTTAGAGTGGACTTTCTGGGACATTAAATTTTTTTACTGTGTAGAATCATCTCGCTTTAAAAAAAAAAACTGGAATATTTTAACAATATCTTAATAATTTAATAATAATGTCTTAATGTTCTTCCTTGACGAAAAAAAATATCCTTTACTCACACATTAGAAAAGTAAAGGATAATTTTTATTTTAAATTCCAAGATATCCTATAAAATATCCTACAATTTTAATCTCTCATATATAGAGTACAAAAGAAACGTAAAGAATACTCGAGTAGCTCGATAGGATAGGAGACTAACTTTAAACTTAAACTATATCGATATATTTCTCTTTCATAGACCAGAAATACATTTAAATTTCGTGGACCATGTGGTGGGTAATCAATCCGACAAACAGATGGAACCCGTTGCGAAATGGTATGTAGATTTATTTACGTGTGAACGTAAAAATGTTTATGCTAATGAGAAGTCGTATATAATTCAGTGCATTTTTCTCTCGATTTTAAATAATAATTAAAAACAGCATTTGTTACAATTCATTAGTGATACAGTAATTGAGTACATTAATATATTAAAATAGTATATAGAATAAAATGCGTAATAAAGTTTACGTTACACTCTCATCAAATCACAGATAAACATTCAAAATTTTTGCCGTAGGTAAAATATTCTTACGCTAAAAAATAGAATATTAAATTAAATGAAGATTCCTCTCTTTTTTTTCTCTCTTAGGTACGAGGAATGTTTACAGTTTCATAGATTCTGGTCAGTCGACGACACGCAGCTGCACACGGAATATTCCGCGCTACGATCCATCGTGATGACGAACTGGGAGGAGACTGTAAAGATGCCGATCAACGAGCCCGCGTCAGGGAAGAAACGCTCCCAAATCCAGGAATTCGTCGAATACTACGGCGGCGCCGGCGTGCAACATATTGCCCTCAATACCAGTGACATTATTGCAGCGGTAAGTAATTGAGTGTTCTAATTGCATTTGTGCGTAACGTGTCCTACAAGACACGACTATGCAGTATAGTAGCAGCTTTAAAAAAACTAGCTTTTTGGTCACAAAATGGTCTCTTAACATTTTTATTCTGATTTTTAATAATTAATAATAATTGACATATAGTTTCGATGTTTTTAATTTATTAAATTAAGATATTTTCTAGGAAATGTCGCGCGCTCGCAATAAGTTCCTCCGCACATTCATTCTAACGCTCCATTTTTGCAGATAACGAATCTGCGTGCCAGAGGGATGGAGTTTCTGGACGTGCCCGATAGTTATTACGACATGCTCAGAAACCGCCTGGAAGCCAGTGGCACGAAAATCGTGGAGGACTTGGATATACTACAGGTACCTTTATTGATAGTGAATTAGAACAACTCTGGTACAAGTTGTAACGCGTTTACTGTTAATTCGATTGCGTTATCGCTTTGCAGAAATTAAAGATATTAATAGACTACGACGAAAACGGATATCTTCTACAAATATTCACGAAAAATATGCAAGACCGACCGACGCTGTTCATAGAAGTCATACAGAGGCGCAACCATAACGTAAGTATTGAAAAAAGGTTGTAGAATCTAATTTTACATCTACGATCTTTACAAAATTTACTAACACCTAAAAACTCGAGAAATATCAACTAGTATTTAAATAATCGTAAATTTAATTTGTCATTTCTTCTTTAGGGTTTCGGCGCCGGCAATTTCCAGGCGTTGTTCGAAGCGATCGAATTGGAGCAAGCAAAACGTGGAAATCTGTAGAATATCAACATTGCCGCTGATATATTTGAAAAATTGAAACCGTTAGCCGGCAGTTAAAGTAATCCTATAAAAGAGTGAAGCATGAGTATCTTTGTACTTAATTGTGTATTGTTCTACTTATATAATGAGATATCACATTAAAAAGTATATTATACATATAAAATCTGCCCCGAGATTTATTCAGCACCATCTATCCTGATACATATCACTATTGTTAATAATTCGTTCACATTATAATAGAGCTGTATGTTTTGTCGCGACCGAAGAAAATGTCAAGGTTTTTACGTTTCCCTCTGTGGAATAGATAATCAACTTGTCCGATTAATTCCGTATTCTTGTATTTAATGGCCAACATTTTTTTTCGTATTACAAAAATACACAGCATTTTAAATGTAAAATATGTTACAATACATTTCAAAGCGTAGTAATGCAAAGATATTACCTGCCGTCAAAAATTAAACTCTCTCGATCAATGAGATATCTATGTGTGCACGTTGTGCTAGTACGTATGTAACTAAGAAATGTAAATTTCGAACAACATATATACATATATATATCTGTGTGTATGCATATATATCTATATATATATATTGTACAGAGAAAAGCGACGAAATTACTTAAAACTGTGATATCAGATGTTTCTCGATTCATTTTTTTTTTATCGTGGCCAAGATATAAGCGGAGAGATATTCTTCATATAAAATGTAATATTATCTATAGAAAGAACAGGGATAGGGATAGGTAGGATGTGGTCGTGACGAGAGGGTTATTGATGAGATTAGGTGGCTCACTTATTAATCGCGATCTCCAGGGCATCCGGTCGCTCGACAACCTGTCTGCTCACACGCTCATCGCGAAAATCAGCACGATCTTCCTCGTTCATGCGCTATCATGAATGTTAAGGCGAAAGATATCGTGCTGACAGTAGTATGAATTACCCATTGGCTTCAACACAAAACATTGCGAGAAGGCGTGTGGGGGATCCTCGTCTGCCTGTAATTAAACGCAAGCTATATATTACATATAACAATGTGTTAAGTAGCACTTAATTATAAAATAATATTGATGTTAATGTTAATTACATTAATTATTGAAGTATTATATGGTTCACACAATTTTTAATGTTAAAAATACAGAAATAAGTTTTTAAATGTTACTCCACATTATGATTTAATCATTGTTCCAATTTGTTCAGCAATTTAATCTTGTATCAAACTATCTACTTGTAACGCGTCGAATTAAATCAGTGATCCCAGACTCGTAAATTTGTATTTCACAGAAGTCGGCTACTTGTGGCTCGTGGCTTGCGTCTGAGATCTCCGAATTAGATACATTTCATGGATATCTCTACTCCATATAACATGAAATGTATAAATAACGTTAATATAATTGCCTCGCATTATTTTATAACGTAATCATTTTAGATTAAATAAAATATACGTTTTCTTTTTAAAGCAAGATACATTAATGAAAAGATAAAATTGCAAAGAGAAATATTAATTAAAAATAAAAATAAATAGCAAACGTATTGAAAAAAAAATATCAAGCTGCGAATTAAAGCAATCGCAGAAAATGTTAATAAAATTTTCAAGTTATCACAATCACAATTAATCTTAAACATAACAGATTTTTAGCACAGCCTATAGAGATGTGGAGATAAGTTACTGAGTTCTATTGGTCCAGAAATTTTGTGCTGAATCAAGATAAAAAAACGAAAGCGATATGCAGCGAATACATGATGCAAAACATCGGACAAGGCTTGCCTGTTAACACGGTACACAGAGCAACGAAGAAGATTTTGCGGTACCTGATACCTAAACCGTGTCGTGTAACGCAAGTCTGAAGATGTCGTGTTGCACGTAAAAACTGGTACCGATCGGCTTCAGGATAAATGTCTGGATGTACGCGTGAGGTTGATCTTCGTCAGTCTGCACGATCATCAATAATCGTTGAATAGTTTTCTTTTTAATTTGAGGTATCGATGAAACCCGCTTACTACAGAGAACTTATTTCCCGTCTATAATTCCTACCTATAGGTTCTATTCTATTTCCGTCTATGGGCCTTGGTACATAGAAAAACTTAAGCAGTAAAACTTAAGCAGTAAGAAATCAACAGTATGGATTCGCTACCGCTTAGGGCCGTGCCTTAAGTTCTTGACTGTGATTGGCTGATTTGCTTACTGCTTGGGTTTTACTGCTTAAGTTTTTCTATGTGCCAAGGCCTTATATTTCCCATATGTTAAAATCAGTCTTATTCAAGAAAGTCTATAATTCTAATAGATACACCATATCTAGTATTAACTTATTTTTGTACAAATACGTGTGCAAAAATCAAGCTTACAGAATCGTTAAAAATTGAGAATTAAATTACTGAACTGATTGGTTTAGTATAAAACATAAATCTTACATATGCTTTAAAACATAAAATTTTAGTATTTTTAAAAATAATTTTATTACTTTTTATCACAATTCAACTTAACATTGCCTTCATTAGATAATTAATTGCATTTTGTCGCATTAAACGCTTTTTAATGAATATTTCTTTGTTACTAACTGTGGTTTCCTTACCTGCAACCTTCCTAATACATTAATGAGAACTCCGCCATCAAACATCGGTTGCGAATCGATCGCTGTTATTATCCGATTTATTTTTTGAAAGGATAGGCTCTGGAAAAGAAAATAAAATTAATATAATAGCGTATTACTTTTCATATGCCAATTTTTTTAAATCAAATTTACAATAATAATAGTGAAATAAGATTAAAATATAAAGATTGACCAAGTACAAGCCAAACATATTTGGTAAAATGTAAATACAAAATCTAACGTACAACAAATATCTTGCATACAAATATTATATATACATATATCTTATATCTAGGTTCTATCGTCTCTGTCTAGCTCCATCTTTGATTTCATCTACTTTAATTTTAGAATTCTTAAACTTCATGATACTTTTAAGTCAGAATATAACCTTTCTATTTACAAATAGACCAGTTAGAGATGTCGAATAAGTTTCTAGAGATTCTCTCTAGTAATAAACTCTCCAAGTTTAAACTACTCCGAAAAAATAAAAATATAAAGATCATATTAAAAGTATATTAATCCTCTTTCTGTATACGTGGGTCTATGGCGTCTGAGCCAAAATGATATCTTCGTATCTGTAAAACTTGTAAGCTCGACAGAAAATGTTAAATAAACGATATTTATCAAAATAACTATAAAATTGTCAACTACAATATAGATAGATATTTTGTAAAACTTCAGATTTTTAAAAAATACTTTAAGAAAAATACTTAAAAAAAAAGCGTCAAACATAACAGACCTACGTATACACTCCGAGGGTGCAAAAAAACATATGGACAGAGGGTTAAACACTAATAATCTTCTATACAATATCCTACAAAAAAAGCTATGAAGATTATCATCTTCTATGAAGAGACCATTTCTTTGAACATATAAATTCCTCTTGAATCCTACTAATGCTGCGACTCAGATGATCAATGATCCACTAGTAAGAATAGACTAGTTGCAAGGGCACTTTTTCGAAAGCCCGAAAGAAAAAAGATACCTCTCGCATGACGGATTTGGATACAAATATGTGGATGTGAGGTACTGCAACCGCATTGATTTCAGATCGGCGGAAGAAAATTTTACTCACAGTTAACTTTTCCATGATTTTGATAGCGCCTTGTATCTGCAAGCCCTCGAACGTCATGAAGGATGTCTCCGCCTGCAAAAAAAGGTTATGTCAGTCGGTCGCGAGGCCGGGCGAGGAAATCACGCGAGGGAGAATTGCGGGACGGGACTGGTCCCATGAACTGGTCGAGGGATCGTCTTACATTGTACATGTTTATGAGGTTCGGCCTCTGCGTCGGATCGTCGAACATCGCGTAATATTGTTGGACGAAACCCTTGCCGATCGCCTCGTACGGCACGTTCATCGCCATGGTGCTGTGCAACGGCCCCGACCGACAGTTGCGACCGGCGAAATGGCGATACGGCGAAAGTCAGACACGCCGATTATCACGCGACTGCTCCACCGCCTCCTTCTTGCCTCCGGGTGCTCCACGCACGTTCCGTCTCGACCTTGGGCCCTACAGTTTCCTACGAGCGCGAAGCGCCGTGCGACATCCCTCGTGCCGTATATACGAGTAGGAAACGAGCGATCGCGCGGACTTCTCTCGCGATACATCGAGATCGAGGACCGCAGGGAACTTCTCGAACGTTCGGCGGCAACTGCACTCCTCGACACTCTCGCGCGCTCTTTGCACTCTGCGCGCCGCGCAGGGCGCGCAGAACGCGCACTCGTCTCGCTTCAAGTCGTGGAAAGTGCAAACGGTGCAAACAATCAGCTGTGTGCGCGTTTATGCCCGGTCTACAATGGATGTCGGAAGTCGGAGTCGTAAGAAATTGACCAATCACAGTTCATTATTCTTCGGCCGCAAGGAGAATAATAGATTGTGATTGGTCAATTTCTTACGATTCCGACTTCCGACATCAATTGTAGACCGGGCCTTAGGGCCCGGACACACACTTTTTCGTAACAGTAACAGTAAAGTTTCGACCAATCGCGTTGCTCGAATCCAGAACGTACGGCCATACGTTCCCGAATTGAGCAACGCGATTGGTCGAAACTTTACTGTTACTGTTACAAAAAAGTGTGTGTCCGGGGCTTTAAAGCTGGCCACACACACTTTTTCGTAACAGTAACAGTAGGATTTCCACCAATCGCGTTGCTCGATTCGAAAACGTACGGCCGTACGTTCCCGAATCGAGTAACACGATTGGTCGAAATCCTACTGTTACTGTTACGAAAAAGTGTGTGTCCGGGCCCTAAAAGCGGGGAGCACACACTGGCCTAGTTTACACCGATCTCTTGATACGCGTATCATATAGTATATTTGAACTGATCAGCCAATAATCAGACTTATTTACTAGTTATTTACTATTTAATACGCGTATCAAGTGATCGGTGTAAACTAGGCCACTTCTGCACAACGCATAATACGTAAGCATAAGAAAATTGATTGGTCTATTTCTTTATGCACATGTGT